ACTTAGCCCTCTGTAAGCAAAAGGTGTGAATCAGGGCCCCAACGATAACCAACACAAAGAGGGGAAAAACAAAAACAAGGGGACATTGGGCCTCATGCAAGAACATGTTCGTATTCTTCTCCTAAATTTCTCTTACTTTTGTTCGTACAAAGGGTTCGTACGAACATGTCACGTCAGATTCAACAAACTCTTCTATCTTCAGGAAAGGTGTGTAAATGAGCTGCGTAAATTCCACCTGTTCTATCCAGCTGCTCGTGCACGTGAGAGGAGATTAGCATAATTACCACCCCTAAGTGTCGCATTAGAGAGATGCTCCATAATTACTGGTTAAAATAAAAATTTGACCATCAGTTCATAATCAAATGTTTACAGCAAAACCTTTACTTGAAAAGCAGCACCAGATTACTGAGTTTTACAGATTGCCCATTTCACATTCGTTGTTTGGAGACTTTTTCTGAATGCATGTGGCCAGTTCTGGATCCTCTGTTTATATTTGTTAGTAAAATGTATTATCTGAAATGTTTTGTCAGTTACTCGTGGTGAATGCAGACACACACACAGCCACATCTCACACACACTTGCTTCATGCTGTACATGATTGGTCACTAACACAAAAGCAATACAACATTATACCTGGCTTTGCTGTCACCCCATGTGTATGATTAAATCTACTTAAGTATACTTCGGAAATAAAGTTAGACTAATGTGAACCAAACATTGGTCTTGGTTGTCTGTCAGAGGAAACCTGGTGGAGTCACTCTTCAGACAAGTTGGAGACACCTGCGAGCCAATTGACATGGGTTCAAGATGGGCTGAAGACACCCACAATGAGACCAACTACTTTGAGGGGGAAAAAAACGCACAATTTTTTAAAAACATGTTCAAAACTGATGCGACCAGACTGCACACTTCTGCAACACGTGGGGAAACTGAGAAACACTGTCTGTAACCGTGTTTCCATCAAAGCTTTTTGGTGCGCATTTAGAAGTGTCGCATTAAAAATGCAAAAAAAAAAAAAAAGTCAGATGTAAACAGCAAAATTTGAAAAAAAATCCTCAATTTGTTAAAAAGTTTTTACACTCGTTTGAGGTGGTTTTTGGATGATTCGCAAAGTAGTTAATGCACAAAACGGGAGATGGAAACACGTTTGCCGAAAAAAATTCTGACGTAGCGCATATTTACTTCACGTGACGTTCAGCTGTTTCCACTTTCCTGCCTCGTCCCGGCGTAGCTGCACGTGCCTTTATGC